ATATAAAAAAAAAATAATTTTTATTTTGTCTAATTCTTTTTGTTTTTTTTATTATGTTTGTACTCCAACGCGATTCTTTATTTTACTTAGTTATACACACAAACTGTTTAAAAAATCTCTCATGATTTTTCAAATATTGATAATCTTGAATTTTTTTGTTAAAATAGATATTGTAATAACTAATCCATTGGAGTGACTAAAATATGATAATGCTAGCCATAACCAGCCTTAGAGCATCTCCAACCTACTAGACAAATAATACTTGTTAGTTAAAATGCCTAGTATAACTTACTTTTTTCAATCTCAATGCACTATGTATATGATTAGACATTTTAGCTCAACTCACATTTACTAGCTACATGTAACTAGCCTTCAAAGGTTAGGCAAAATGTATTTAATTATTAGGATTATTTTCCTCCATCTTTGTTATTGATGTGACACTCTAAAAAGTTAATAATATTTAGATGAATAATTAAAATAAAGAACATAGTTGGAGTAGAAACATAAAATAATTGATAGACAAAATAAAATATATACTTTATAGTAATATTTAGATAAGTAAAATGCCTATTAAGGTTGAAGATGCTCAAAGAATTCCTTAAAAATGCTCATGAAAGATGAATGAATTGTCAATCTATTGTTTTTTTTTACCATTCCTATCTTTATTAAACAAGTCTACAAATACATAAATCACATAATTAGACACAAAATATATATAAATATATAAATTTTTTCATAAATTGATCTCACTAACAAATTGTCATATATATTGTGTATTTTGATTATGTGATTGATTTTTGTATTTGTAGCAACTCCAAAACCAAACTTGCAAAACTGTTAAAAGGCGAACAAACATGCCTCATTAGTGAGAACACAACTATTCCAGATTCGTGCGAGTTTGGCACTGACATAGCACTCTTAATTATCACGTAATTAATGTGGCCATACTATTTTATTTTATTTTATTTTGCACTCTGGTGTTTAGGAATGGAGCCTAGATTTCAATATAGAGGGACCAACATATATGAATAATGATTCATTTTTTAATTTTATTTTCTCAATTTTATCTTTAATGACATGGAATTAGGGGGTTAAAGATGAGAAGGAGAGAAGTGCGAGACTGTTATAAATTAATAAAATTTAAAAAATAATTTAAAACTTAGAGCATTGATTTTTACTATACAAAATCAGAAAATTTGGCCAAAATTCCTCTATTGAGCCTCCTTTTGGTGAAAAGGACAATTCATAGTTCTTTTTTTCTTCATAAACTCTCTCACATGGAGGCACCTACTTGATGGAGGACACAATAACATTTTTTTATTTCTTTTTGGACAATCTTACCTATCCATATATAGGTGAGAGATTTGAATCAAATCTCTAGAGTAGTTCTCCTTGATTATATTCCGATTCGAAATTGCGTAATCACTACTTTCCTCGAGTTGCAGAGCAAGAGAGATTCGTCGAAAACTTTGAATAATATTTTTTTAAATAAATGTGATTAATTTCTAAACTCCTCATCTTTTTTTTTTATTCTTTTTAACTTGGTATCCGATATATTGGACCAACTAATTTGAATGACCAAACCCACTATTCACTAGTGGAAGGCCCAATTAAAACCGGAGCAAAATCTTATATGACCTGACCTCAGTAAATTATTTATATTTAAGAAGTTTTGAACTTGATTCCTAACTTATATTCTCTTCTCAAGAGCTAGGACTTAAAATCAACATTAGTTATGATAAATTAAATTCCTTTGTTATATTATTGTCTAAATTTTTTTAATTTTGTACTGTAATCCCATGTGTCATATATATAAAGGGCAGTCACTTTAAAACAAAAAATAATGTAAAAGTGTTTTTTTTTAAGTGTAAATTATATTTTACCTCCTTTATATTTGGTTACTTTCTCACTTTGATTATTAAAATTTATTTTTTTTCACTTTGGCCTTTCATATTTCAAGTTTTTCCTACTTCACTCATAAAGCTAATTTTTGTTCAAAATTAGACAGAAAATGACACATTGATAGTAGCATGACATAAAAATATTTTATTATATATAACTCACATATCTTACTTAAACTTATACTTTAATATAAAAATATATGATATATTTTTTGTACCACGTGATTGTCAATATGTTATTTTATATCTAATTTTGCATATAAATTAGTTTTAGTAGTAAAGTAAAAAAAACTTGAAATATAAATGGCCAAAGTAAAAAAATAAATGGGAAAATTATGCAAATGGTCCCTGTAGTTTGCACGTTGTGTCATTTTGGTCCCTCTAATTTCAATTTGCTCGATGCTGATCATAAATTTTGAACTCTATATCATTTTGGTCCAATTGAAAATGGAAGTTAAGAAATTGGACAGAAAATTTGCACGTGAATGACATATAATTGGTATCGACATGTGAATTCGAAACTGAAGCTGAAGCTGAAGCTAAAGATTCCAATTCGAGGACAAAAATGGAAATGTGTGAGACAACAAGCTTTAAAGTCCTCTGTCACCGAAGAAGAGTGGTTTTGACTGTGATTGTAACTTTTCTCCGATGAAGCAGCCATGCATTCGAATTCAAGCTTCTTCAAATTGTAAGCCCTCACACCTTCTTCGGCAATATTGTAAGTGCTTAACCAGACCCTCTTGTCGGTGAAAGGGTCTCAATTTTTCGCATCCTATTTGCTCCATTTTCGCTGTTGAACCCTTCTATATTTTGACCTAGATGGTCTCAGCCAATTAGGGTTCAGGGTTTTGGTTAAAACTCTCTTCTTTTTAGGGGCTTTCTCTCCATCGCATCACCCTACCTCTTCCACAATCACGACGCCAGCACCCCACTCATTTTATTCCAAACTCACGACAACAACTGCTTTGCCATCACTCTACGTTGCCTTCTCATCCCTCATAGGCCCTCAACACCACCTCCCTCTCCCTTTCCCTCCCCCTCCCCTAACTCTTCGACGACACCTTCTTCTCATCTCTCTCTCTCTCTCTCTCTCTCTCTCTCTCTCTCTTCTGTGTATAGAGATATATATATCATTGAGTTAAATGGAAGTGAGTTTAACTCACTCTGAGTTAGATGGACAAATCATTGAGTTAATTGAGAGTGAGAACAAATTGACTGTTTTGTCCTTAAAAACTTTGCACATGTTGTCCACGTGGGTCTTTTCCGTCCAAATGCTTAACAGAAGTAATCTATTGGACTAAATTGATACAAAATATAAAATTTAGTGTCAAAATCAAGCAAATTAAAATTAGAGAGACCAAAATGACACAACGTATAAACTACAGAGACCATTTACATAATTTGTTCATAAATTTTAAGAGTTAAAGTAAAAAATGACTAATTTATCATTTTTTTAAATAGTAAAGAGTCCCATCACCCCGCTAGGTGTTGACATTTAACCCGTGTAAAAACTCTCCCAACCCTATAAACAGTAGAATTTAGGGGTTGTTTGGGAAGCATTAGATTAATATACTTTTTGACTTTTTATGAAAAAATATGAAATATAAGTTAAGTTGGAAGTGAGTGGTAGAGAGGTGATGTGAATTAAATAAGATGATTCTAACCTAAATAGAATAATGTACTAAAATAACATATGCTATTTTAACACATGCCAAACAACCATTTAATGCATCCGCAAAATCAATACCGTGGATGAAATTATCATTTTTAACTAGCAAAAACAACTTGACAAAGGATGGGCGTGTAAGGAAAGTATTAAAGCATGATTATAACAAATTTTAAATTTAAGTTCTTCGTAGATATACATGAAAGCACAATAAACAATTGTTACCTGATTTCTATTTTTTAAATTAACATACATATCACATATCAATTATATAAAATTAATTTTACAATTTACTTCATGGATAAACCACAAAATGGTCTGAATTCTAATTGAAAAAACTACTCCATCCTTTCCAAAATATTAGTTCCTTATTCTATTTTTCATTGTCTCAAAATATTAGTCTCTTTTCAAAAATCAATGACTAAAATAATATGAATTTTCTATTTTGCCTTCTTTTAAATTCATTAATATAAAAGTACAATTATGACAATTGATATTCCTACAAAAATGTACTATCAAAATGCAATTTTGAAAAATTAATATTTTTAAAGTGTAATAATTGTACTATAAAAAAAAGTTCGATTTTTCAAAAAAAATTATTATTTTAGGACATAGTGAGTACTTGAAAATCCCATTTCAGAAATATACAAACCATGTAGTCTTTTTCTTCTTTATTTTTTATTTTATATAGATTGATAGGTCCTGTTCATTTAGAAACATTTGCTATAAGATCCTATTTAATATATTATTGTGTAACGTTAAGACGTTTTTGCCCTTAATGAGCATGCTACATTTTGGGTGGATTAAATGTGAAATGTGGTTTGTTCTAACTAGTAGTATGACTAAAAAAATCTTTTAGCATACTTTTTTGAAATGTGACATGTGAAATGTGGTTTGATTTCCAAAATGGACAAGTTATATTTTGGGTGGATTGAATGTGGAATGTGATTTATTTAAACCAGCAAATGACCACAAAAATCATTTAGTGTATTTTTTGAAATGTGACATAAAATGTGATAAATAACTAAAATTAAAAAGGGAATCTTCAAATTTACCATATCATAAAAATAGTCACAAATGTGTCAATTTACATAAACAAGGATTTGTGTGTTTATTAAAATAATTGTGGAAGTAGTTGGTTTATAAGTTATGATTTTAGGATTTATGAGCCAGTGCTCCTTCTAAATTTATAACTGTACATACATGCCATAATATAATTTTTATATCTATATATATATATATATATATTACAAAAATACATTATTTATTGATCTGGTTAAAATACAAGAACGCATAAAATAGACCCAAAAAAAAAAAAAAAAAAAAAAGAGAAATAGAAAAGAGTAAAAGTGTTTTTATTGCAAGTCACATGGTATTGTGCCTTCTCCCACTTCAATTCAAGGACTAACCCTCCTTGCATCCTATAAAAACACACGCTTCCCTTCATATTTTCTCCACCATCACAATTACCCTTTTAGAAATTGCTAATTTCTACCATCAACAGTTTAGAAAGTTTTGTTATTTTTTTTCTTAAGGGTTTGAGAGAGATGGGTTCCAAGAGCAATAATGCATCACTTGCTTTGTTTATTTTGCTCAACCTTCTCTTCTTTGCCTTTCCAAGTGCACATGGTGCTCCACCTCCACCTCCACCTCCACCTCCGACTCCGACTCCGACTCTGACTCCGAGCCCTTCCACAGGCAACTGCCCCATAGATGCCCTCAAACTAGGCGTATGTGCCAATTTGCTCGGTGGATTGGTTAATGTTACAATTGGTGCACCTCCGGTAACACCATGCTGCAGTCTCATTCAAGGCCTTGCTGACCTTGAGGCTGCTGCTTGCCTTTGCATTGCGATTAAGGCAGACATTTTGGTCCTCAACCTCAACATCCCTCTTGCATTGAGCTCGGTTCTTCAAAATTGTGGCAAAACTAGTCCTACTGGCTTCCAATGCCCCTAAACAACTTCTGTTTCCTAGCCCTCTGTGTGGCTTTTGCTCATTTCATGAGTCATATAATAAGAGTGTTTGGTGCAAGTGCATTTCATGGTAATTTCCATCTTATTAAAGTAGGGTACAAATACATCTCCTGAAATTTACTTAAAATACGGATTATTCCTGTGGTTTGAAAAATTACAAATATCTCTCTATCAGAATTTTTTATTTGACAAAATTAATTGAAAAAGTAAAATTTCTAACTGTTCACCTATACAATTATAAAATTATCTGAATTATTAATTGAAATAAAATTTTAACATTATTAAAAACTGTTAATAAATTTGATGATTTATTAACAAAATGACCTATTTGTTATGAAATTAGAAATCTTGAGGGGCAAAATGTAATTTCTAAAATCACATAGAATAATTTATAATTTAAATAAATCTCAAGAGGTGTATTTATAATTTACCCTTTAAAGTAATATTTAATAAAACATATTACAAAAGTGTGGAAGAGAGGGGTAATATTGCCAATGTGATAACTCCTATCTTGTTTCCGTTGTCATAGTGTGTGTAAGTTAATGGAGTGATATGTAATAAGTCCTCTTATGTAATCCCTCAAAGTCTTATGTGTAACTTTATTATAGAAATATTAAAAAATAATTGCTTTCTGTTTATTTAATTTGCTCGTGGTAGTCAATTTTTTTTTTTTGGTAGGATTCTGACATTGAAAAAGCATATGCATTCGTAAATATATATATATAATGAAGAAGAAAAATATTATGTTAATTTTTATAAATATAAAATGTGAAAAAATATTACAAAACTATTATACTAGGATATGTAACCAAATAACTTATCAACAAATTTTCGTACATTTGGCTTTCACCAACACTTTGGCCCAATTCCAAAGTTGACAATTTCTGAAAATCAAGATGTTCGATAGCGGCTTGGCTTTCACGACGAGCAGTATTGGATATCATAAAAAATATTTTATAAAAATGATCATTAAAAATATTTTATTCTTAAATTAAATATATAATAAATTACAAAATATAATAAAAAAATAAAAATTCATAAATATTTTCATAAAATATTTTATTATAATGCTTAACATTTCCCTGCCATGACCTTATCATCAATATGTTATTGGTTTCAGCGCTAAAGCAATATTGAATTTTTAAATCTTAGAAAAGTGCTTTAATTATGATCCACTAAAAATCACTTTTAATCTGTTATTGGTTTCAGCGCTAAAGCAATATTGAATTATTAAATCTTAGAAAAGTGCTTTAATTAAGATCCACCAAAAATCACTTTTAAATTTATTGGACAATAATAGTTAATTTATTTAAGAATTAATAAATTTATATTTAATTTATTATCATATATATATATATTATTAAAAATAATATTATTCTCATACTTAGTAGTACAGTTTGATGTAATTGTTAAAACATATTATAAATTATAACTTAATAGATTATAAATTACGACTTTAATTTAAAATTGTTAATCTGTTTGATGTAACTGTTAGATTATAGATTTAAATTGCTTAGTAGTATTTGTTAAATAAGTTATAAAATAATTTTTTCAATTAACTTTTATTCTTCGTAATTCACTAATTGTCTACATTTCTCATAAAAAATAATTATAATAATCCATAGTCCATTTGGGTCTTTGTCTATTTTTAAAAAAATAAAAAAATCTAAGAGTGTAACCGTATATTAACATGTCCATAGCTGAAGCTGATAATCAGAAATAAGGAGTGAGCAGTTTCTCAGAATCAATTTTTTGAGTTAAAATAAGTTGTTAAAATCCGAAACTATTTGAAACAAGTTTAAGTAAATAGTCCAAAATATTTTTTCCAAAGTTAGAAGCTATAAGTTGGCTCAAAAAAGCCCAAACAAACACCCTTTATAAGGTCTTACTTTTTTTAAAAGAGTCACATCAACATGTATTTTTTCTTAATTATATATAGAATTCTATACAAATTCAAACATAATTTAAATTATACTAACTTTTTCTATTAGACTCTATTTAAAAAATATTTATTTTTCATATATTTTTCTTCATAAATTGAGATAATCCACAAATTGAATACCAATTTTGAGTTTCACATTTTTCTTCTTAATTTTTTTAAGTGTATTAGGATGTTTTAATGCTAAATTTTTTTTTTTTTCGTTCTTATTTTTTTGTGTATTATTCTATACTCAATACCAATTCTATATTAAATTATATTATGGATTTGTCGCTTAAATTTTATTGTGATTCTATATATGAAAATATACTTCATTTCTTACATTATTTATATAGTCACAACTCACAGGAAGAAAAACCTGCACAACAATGATACACTCGGAAAACTTCTAAAGTTTGAATTTATTACTTGAATTACTTTTTTAAATTGTTGAATAGTAAGTTTTGAAATCATATTATAGATGATTAATCATTTCACACATTGAGATATATTTACAGTTCAGAAGTTTTTATTATTATTAGTTTTTTTTTTAGTTTAAATATTGTTATGTAATTCTCTGTTAAATTTCTTTTATATGATTGATAGTGTTTTGTAGATGGTTAGGATTATTATCACTCCCTAATTAACAAATAATCAAAGAAAAAATTGTAAATGCCAATTGGCAATAATGAGGGTAAATTACAAAGTGATTTGAAAAATTATAAATTTTTTTTGTCAAAATTTTTATTTAACCCAATTAATTGGAAAAAATAAAATTTGTAACTACTCTCATATATAGTAATAAAATTTTTTAAATTATTAATTAAAATAAATTTTTGACATCATCAAAAAGTATTAATTGATTTAAGAACTTATTAATAAAAACAGTTATTTATTATAAAATAAAAAATTTCAATGGACGAGATATAACTTCTTCAATCCAAAAATGTTATTTAAAACCACAACATCGATTAGTGATGGTGAATAATTTCTAAAGTATAGTTTGAGATTGACTTTTGTTTGGTTTTTCATCTTTAGTGATTTTTTTATTTTTTTAATTTTCAAAAGATTTTATTGTTTTAGGTTATATTTAACTAGACAAATCAAAAAAGTAAAAAGAAAAATAAAAATATAGAAAAAAAAAATCCACAGGGGAACTAAAAAGTCAAATTATTTTTGGCCTTTTTTGTCTTTAGTAGATTTTTTCAATGCAATTTTTTTTAAATTTTAAAAAAAAAAAAAAAAAGGTAGCTTTTAGTTTTTTTTTTTTTTTTAATTACATCATCTCTTATATTTTTTATCCATAAAAATTAAAATAAATTTAAAAAAAACCAAAAAATTAACTTTTATCAACTTTTCAAAACACCACTCTGTGTGTTTGGTTTGAATTTTTTGAATTAAGTTTTTTGAAAACTCAGTTTTTTAGCTTTCGTGTTTTTTTATTTTTAGTGAATATTTTTTAAATTTTAAAATATTTTTTTTTTTACTTTTTTAGATGCATCTTACTTAGATGTATCTAAAAAGTAAAAAATTTGTGAAAAAATATTTTAAAAATTTAATAAATACATAAAAATATAAAAAATGTACTGAATTCTCGTTTTTTTTTTTTATATTTTTAGTATTTAGTGAATTTTTAAAAGATTTTTTTCACAAAATTTTTAGTTTTTAAATATATTTATATTAGATATGTCTAAAAAGTAAAAAAATTACTTAAAATATTGAAAAAATTTAGTAAAACAAAAAAATACGAAAAATAAAAAAATAAAAGTTTTTGAAAAGTGTTTTTAAAAAAACACAACCAAACAAGGTGCCTATAATTGTCTGTGCTAATCATTATGGGAAGCGGACATGAAACAATAATGGAGTTAGAATCTGGTACAGAGATTCAATCGTAGTTACACTGAAAATTACAAAAACATACATAATTTTTTCATATGAGGTAAATCTTATTTTTTTATTTTTTTTCCCAACCCTTATTGAAAAAAATTGTGAGAATTTCTATTTCCACGCACCTACTTATCTCAATATATATCATTTCTTAATGCACAAATTTATGAATTTAATTAAATATTATTTATCTCATTTCACAAATCACATATTCCAATTATAATTATTAACTCAAGAATTATACACACAATTTCCATCCAAACACACACCCACACAGCCATCAAAAACCGGCTATACTAAAGCATATTACTTTCCACAAAAACATTTTCCACATAAAAAGATTTTGCAGAAAAGTGGTCAGTGAACCGGCTATCACACTTAGATTCTGAACTCGTGATTCATAGCAAACCCAGCAGGTTAACTTTTAAACCCACAACAAAATTGATAGAGGCATTTTGTCAAACAGGTTACGCATATAGGTCTATCAAATCCTATTTATTCAAACAACGAATAAGGAAGTTATTGGAGTTCTGAAACGTAGTTTTTCTAGTCAACTGAATGCCTCAAATGAACTAAAGCAGAAAAACAAAAATGATTTTTGTAATTGAGAGATTTTATCAAACAATTGGGTGACAATAAACACATTGCTTATAGAAAATAAAATAAAAAATAAAAAATAAAAAAATCATTATGGTCATTTTATTTTAGGATATAATCATCATTAAAAGGGTAATTCTACTTACATCACCCTTTTACCTCATTACACCCTCTATCTCATTACACTACTTAAAAAAAAAATAAAACTCTCATTACTACCCCATTATATTACCAATAGTAACTCTAAATTAACCTTTCATCTCTTTACACCGCTTACCTTTTGGAGGGAAAAGAGAGAAGCAAGACAGAAGCAGCAGCAAGGAAGACGACGGGTCCGACGTAGAGAAGGCGAGTGTTTCGAACGGCGGAAGGGATTTGAACGGCGTTATCTCATTCTTATCATTTGCCCAAGGTAAGTGAAAAACTCTTCTTTCTCTCTCTATATTAACAGACATATATATGTATCTATATATGTATCTCTATCATCTATGTCATAATTTTTTTTGAATATATATATATCTATCGTGGTCATTTTTGTCCCTTAATGTTCATACTTGCTTAAGAAGAAAAGGTTATGTTGCTTAATTTCTGCAATGTATAGTCGTTATAGTGCCGCCACAGCACTTTCAGAGCGAGAAAGACATAATAGAGGCTGTAGTTGATTTCTTAATTTCCCCCCTCCTGGAATATTCTGTCAATGTTTGAATTAGAAAGCATTCTCATGAGTACCAGAGTAACTTTAGCCAAATCACTAGTTTTAAAGTTGTAGAAGGGCATTAAATTAGAGAAATTCTTCATATATTACAGAGTTAAATTAGGATGGGGTATATAAAAATTTCATAACAGAAGATTCAAAACTTCTGTCTAGACCATGTGTTGCTAAATGATTTGTATTTGCTCCTGAGTGACTAGGGTCTACGATAAATTCAAAACTCTGCTTAGAGCAAGGATGACACAGATATTAAGCCCCAAAAGTAATATGTAGTAGGTGAAAATAGCAGTAAAACTGGGAATGGTATTCTTGCTATTCTGGTGAATAAAAAGAGAAGTGATGCAAAAAATGTCAACCATGTTGCTGTAGTGTGTCATCTAAATTGGGATCGCACACTAGATATGACATCTTTTTATTGTCTACTCTATACAAAGTAGAATTTGGAGTTTTAACTGTCATGAAAAAGTTTTAACTTGCAGAGCATTAGTATTCAAACATCATAGCCAATCACAATTAAAATCCTAAGGGAAATTCAGGTGAAAACACTCATAATTATACAATTTTTAGTTTTTTTTTTTAATCACTAAAAACTTATTTGATTGTCTTGAAATTATATATTCGATTACTTTAAAATGAACTTCTCAATTAATTAATTAATGTGTATTTGATTTTGTTTTTAAGTTAAAAAAATTAAATTAAATGTATATTTAGCTTTGGTTGTGAACCTTGGGGGAGGGGGGGGGAAGAAAAAAAATATCAAGTTGGATTGGGAAAAATCCAAACCCATTAAGGGATGGGAAGGGTAGTACCTATGGGGGATGGGAAATGAGAAAAAATAATTATAGAAAAATAGGGATGGGGAATTAATGACCACCTCATTATCATCCCTACTTTGAGGGGATGGCACTGCTTTTAAGTTATTATGGATGATCTCCCTTTGCACTACTTGAACTTCTTGTCACATTGCTTAATGTGCCATTTCCTTGTAAGCTTCCATTGTGAGATATGCTTCTAACAGAATTGCAATCCTTGCTGTCAAAGTTTGTTTCACCTTGATAGCAAGGCTTAATTGTCAAGATTTATTTGAGAGAAATACACACGGAGGAGGCAAGGATGACTTCCTCTCATTTGCTTCATGGTAGCTTATGTGCATTATATATATTTTTTGAATGGAATGCTCATTCTGGTGTGACCTGATTGTATAAACTTTTGACAACATAGAACCTTTAACAGTTTTTCTTTAAAGAAGATATGCAATAGTTGTTCTTCATAGGATCTAAAATTAATTTAGCAATCAGGAGGTTTTGGGAGTAGCTGCTTTTCAGAGATCAGGTAAATTTGGCCCTTCTGCATTGTGCTTTCTTTATAAACTCTATGAAATATAATTTTGCTTTGTACAGACAGAAAAGCTAGTAAATCTTGTTTGATAATATGTCAGATGATGGAATAGTATGTTGGACTTGGAATTATTACACAAAAAATGGAAGAATAGAAAATTTAAACTGTTAGAAAATGGACCCTATAGATCACTACTAGTCCCAAAAGCTCTTCTTCATACTCACAAATCAAAAAATAAAATAACACAGAAAGATGAAATAGAAATGAATAAACTGAAATTATAGAAGGCCTCTTACTTTCATCAGGGGGAATACGTCTAGTTTGTGCTTCAATTCCACATGCTCCAAAGCATATTAGTATAAACAATACAAGCATAAAAGTGCATATAGCTTTCGGATATTCACTAACTGTTACCATCTCTTGTTCTATATTTGAGTTCTTTAGCATATTGGTAAAGCTAGACTCAATTATATGATAATATATAACCCACATGAGAACGCAGTCATACAGAATATTCACCAACACCTATTTGTGAACGTCAATTTTCTTATGAGCTGTAACATCCAAAGTCAAGGTATCCCAAGAACATTAAAATTATCAAATGCATACTTGCATTATAATTTGAATTTTTTTCCTTTTCTATACATTTGCACATTCAAATTTTTTTCTTTAAATTGAATGTTATCTATGAAATTATAGTTTCTTTGTTGATATTGTTTACATCAGTCATTTAATATATTCGAGTTTTTGCTGATATTGGGTTTTTTTTTTTACCACAGAAATGGTTAGTGGTGTCTCACGTAAGAGACCAACGGCATCCAACAGAAGACGTGCTAGGCAAACAGAACCTGAACCAGTGGAAGTGAATGTCCCTGTGGAGGAGGATGACCATGTGGATGCGAATAATGATTATGTTGACGACGATATTGGTGTGGAGGATGACGATATCGATAATGATATTAGTGTAGAGGCTGACCTCATGGAGGACGATGTTGGTGTGGATGATGACAACACAGAACCAGTTCCTGGTGCTCCAGAGGATCCTTCATTGGTAATTAGCTTTCGTAACCATGTTGCTGTAGTTGTTTGGAAGAAAAAGGTATTTTGAGAATTTCTCAACAATAAACTAATCATATGTACTATATGCTTCAAATTATTTATATGTTTTATGTACAATGCAGAAACGGGGACCTCTTAAATGTTTGAATCGTTCTCGAAAGCTTGCCGAGTGGCCATGGATGTCACCAACAGTCCAAAATGTTAGATGGAGACATTTGGTTGAGCAGTCTGGTCTTAGTGTCCTTATTGATCACACATATCGGCATGGCAATAGAGTGGCAATATCTGCATTCGTTGAAAGGTGGCATCTAGAGACAAATACATTTCACATGCCAGATGGTGAGATGACTATTACATTGGATGATGTGCGGACCATACTTGGCATTCCAGTCACTGGCATGGCTTTGTCATGTCCTAAGTTAACAAGATACGAGGCTGCTGAACTGGTGAATGCTACTTTGGGAGTGCCAGTGAATGATGCATTTATAGAGTTAGTTCAATCTCGTGGGCAATCCGTGAAGCTAGAGTAGTTGCGAACTAGATTTCATGAAGTTAATGATACAGATGATGCAAATTTCATAGAATACGCATCCCAAAAAAGTGAAGAATGGAACTGACATAATGATGATGACTGGTTTTATGCTCCTTTCCACCTATGCTGGGAGAGGATTACTATACAGTGCCATTGAAATGGCAAGGAGAAATCCATGCCCTTGTATTGTATGCACGAACTTCCTGTATAGACAATTAGGACCTGCTAGTAGGGCTGGTGTTAAGCAGATTGCAGGTTACTTGAAGCTATTGGAAGCATGGATTTATGAGCATTTTTGTTTAGGAAGGCCTCATCCAAATTTGTCCTATTCTGATGAACAACCTCATGTATGTCGCTGGAGTCCGCAGAGAGATGGAGGTTTTACAGAAGACCACTTGCAGACATTACGAGAGCAACTTGACATGTTACGTGCTAATGAGGTTAGACATTTTATAATAGTGTGATATTGAAAAAAAAAAAAAAAAGATAACTAACATTATGCATTCCTTATTTGTAGATCGAGTGGGATCCATACCGTTTATGTAGGACACACCATCCACTTCATGAGGTTGCATATTATACTGGATGTTTGAAATGCTTTGATATTGTTGAACCTTATCACCCCAATAGGGTTTTGCAACAGTTTGGTAGGGGTCCAAACCATTCCCCTAGAACCATTATCTCCTGTTCGAGCTACACGGGGTAGTAAACCAGGACAGTACAGAATCATGTATCAATACCATGACACAATATGGGCGCAATGGGAGAATCATGTGTTGTCCATTAATGCTCGTAGTGTGCCTGTACAGCAGCAGCCATCTGAATGTGTACGGGGATACTGTAAGTGGTATGCTCGTGTTTCGCATCGAGTTGTTCAAAATCCTACACATCACTCTTAGTTTGATCGACGTGTTCAACGTCCCGAGAATGATGTTACTATGGATCCTGAGTGGGTAAGCAAATTGTGAATTACCTTTTTTCACTTTTAAGTGGTTTACCATAAATCAAACACTAAGTATGATTTTTATCATTTTTTTTGCAGTGTAATGATGCTGCTTTCAATGTTGGTGCTGCAGTCCATAGGCTCGGTCGTGATGAGTGTGTCTTGCACCCTAACATGCTGTATGAAACCATTGGTCGCATGCTACAAGTTCTTGGTAGACAGAGTTTGGGATCTACTTCGACACGCACCAAGCATCAAGTTTACTATCGTAAACGTCATAGGATGGACCGTACATGAGGATTGAGATCTACTGTTTGTTTGATGACATAATTTTGCATAATGTCTAGCCCGTATACCTTTTGGGATATAGTTTTGTGTTAACCGTACATGATATTTGGGATGTAGTTTTTTTTTTTTGATGGCATAGTTTTTGTGAAAGCATAGCCCGTACAGAATTTGCGATCTAGTTTTTTTTTTGATGACATAGTTTTTGTGAATGCCTAGGCCGTACAGAATTTGGGATATACTTTTCCCTAATGGCATAGTTTTTGTGGATGCCTTGGATCTTTTTGTAAACTGGATGCTTGGTTGGACAAGTAATGAATTGTCATACTTTTGTAAGAATTTTAAACAGTTTCACATCTATTTTGTATTCAATATTTATGTGAATGGAAATTTCTTTTGGCGAACATATGGATTTGTTATTGTTTGTAATGCATTGTAATGGTATTAAAGTGTTTTGGAGGGATATGGTAACATTGTAATGGTATTAAAGTGTTTTTTTCAGTGCTATGGGCCAGTTCAGCTTCATACTGCTAAACAATTTGAATTATTCTGGTGTTCGGTTGCCGGAAACAATAGAGCCCTCCAGCATTTACTTGCTATATATTTCCAGAGCCACTTTATCCTAACATTGGTTTTTTTATTTGTGCTGAGCCCATTTGGTAATACAATGCTAAACAATTTCAACTACTCTAGTTCCGTGTTACCGGATAAAATTTTGTTTCCCAACATTATGTTATCGAAATAAATGGTTTTGTCCAGCCTTTTGTGGTTATACAATTACAGAGCCATTTCCTCCCAAATGATATGGTAATAATTTGTGCTTGGGTTGTTCGGTAATAAAATGCTAGTAAGTTTTAATTAATCCAATGTTGTGTTACCAGACAAACTAGTTTTTCCAAGCATTATGTTGCCATACAATTGGAGAATTTCATTTTGCTTTATAACAAAGTCAGTGGAGCCCACTATGAAGTGTCTGTTCAATCACACAATAGTAGACAAATTAAATTTGTCCGGTGTTATGTTGCTGGAAAAAATATATTTGTTTAGCGTTCTGTTGCTATACATTTACAGAACCACTTTGTTATAAATAATAATTTGGGGCTGTTCGGTAATAGAATGTTAACGAATTTGAATTAATCTAGTTCGATAAAAAAACATCCATAAATCAAACACGCATCTATAAAATCAAGCATAAAAAGTTTCCATAAAATATTTCATTACAAAAATAAGTGTACGAATATCCATAAAAGCATCCATAAAATCTGTCATTGTTTGCATCCATCAATCAAACATGTTATCACAATTCTTCTATATCGATTGTTTCGGTAGTTACTACGTCAGGGCTGATAAGAGTACGAAATTGCTGAATACGGATAGTAAATGCTTTCTCCCATCCAATAGACGGATGATTGTGCACTCCACATAAGACATGCAACATCCACTCATCATTTGTAGGTAATTTTTCCTCGCTTAATAGAAATGGACATCCACACTTTTTAGAACCTGTCAACCTCAATTGTTCCCCCTTGATCTTTCTGTTGTCTCTATAATAACCACTTCTTTCACAAGCAAGGGTAAGTCTTGGTTTTTTGTCATTACCTCCTGCATCTGATGTCTTTATAACAATGACAAATCTAGTCTTCTTTCCAATGTCAGAAGCCCATTTAATTCATGCTTGACGACTACTAAAAATCTAAACATAATAAATACATTTGTACGTCAAATTATTAATAAAACTCAATACAAATTAGAAATAAGAAAAAATTGTATTCATAAAAAAACTTAACAAACCTCGTCTGTAATGAATTCATGATTGGAGTCCACTAATAATGCAGTACTTACATTGTTGCAATGAGTATAAGTACAATCCTTCCAAACAAAAAATAAAAAAAATAAAAAAAAATTAATACATAGCAATGAGTAGCCGAACAAATTTAAAAAATCCGACTTTATATTCCCGGAAATTTATATTTTATTTGGCAATTTGATACTAGACTTATATTTTTTTTTCGACACTGTGATGCCGGATTATATTATTTTGTTCAATTTCGAAACACCGAACAAAAGTCGCACACCAATCCAGAAAATCGAAACAAAAACCTAGAAAATCGAAACAAAAACCAAGAAAATCGAACAAAACCCAGAAAATCGAAACAAAAACCTACCAAACTAAAAAAAAACTAACCATTTCACTTTTTTGATAGTTTTTCACCACCGTTTTTTCATCCATTGCTTTTTTTTATGATCAAAACACTATGATTATCAGTTTTTCAAAAGAGATGTGTGAGAGAAAAGAAAAGTTGAGAAAGGAAAAAGATAAGCAGGAATTGAAAGGTCAGGGGGTGTGAGGAGATAATCAAATACATTTAATTTTAATGTTTTGTCCCTTTAAGTAATTTCACATATGGATGAAATTGGAAGACAAAAACAATCTTATATGGAGGGTGTAAGGAGATAAAAGAGTGGTGTAAGTAGAATCACCCTCATTAAAATAAGTGAGTGTATTGAGGTAAGTAGTTATTTCTCAAAAGTTGTATTTAATTGTGGTATTGATTTTAGAAGGACTTACGTGTAGGTTTTAATAAGTGAACTTATAATCCAATAGGTCATGTGAGAATTAATGACATTTTTCATAAAAAACTATTAAAAAAAGTCACTAATCATTAATTTTTAACGACAGTTTAAAAATTTTATCACAAAAAATGTCACTAATTATAATTTTTACCAACAGTTTAAAAAAATTGTCACAAAAAATAAACTTCACTGAGTTTCAACTTTCAATGACAGTTTGAAAAACTCCTCATAGAAAAACGTCACTAATTGTAAGTTTTAGTGACAATTTATAAAAACCGTGACAAAAAAAGTCACCAATTGTCTATTTTTAGCAACATATGCAAAAAATAGTCGCAAAAACTTATTTTTAGCGACACTTTTGTTAGGATTTATTTTCAATAGGATTTGATGGGAATTAAATCAAACTATTAGAACCTATTGGTAGTTTATACCCTTAATTTTATGCATGTTGCCTTTTGGCAACTTGGTTTTAGACTAAAAAAGCATAAAAAGATAAAATAGACTAATAAGTTAATAAAATAAAATATCACATTTAAATCATAATTATTTTATTTTTTCTCTCATTACTATCACATCCATATAAAAAAAAAAAGAAGTCATTTTTTTTTTCTTGAAATGAAGCTAATAAATTAACTCTGTCGACACCAAACCATAATAGAATTTGTTAAAGTTTTTGTTTGTATCTTTTATTTTTCGTCAATGCTACAATCTTAAAATTTAATATTAATAGTCAATATTTACTTCTAATATGATCCCACAATAGAGACTTTAATCATTCATCATCCATTTAAAATTTTGGTTAGATTTTAATAACGTTTCAAACACTACATAATTTTTCATTATTTTTTTTTATTTATTCAATACAAAACTTTCAAACCTCGTAAGTGTTCTATTTAATAGAAAAATTTCCCAGATTCAGCTCCTTTGAATTACAACTTGTAATGAAACATTTTTATTACCTATCTAATGAGTATAAAATAAATATGGGAAGTTATCATTATTTTTAAGCGAGAATATCTCAATTCATAAATTCCTTACGTAGTCTTGGGTATCACCAACCAATTTTGTAATGAATATATATATACACACACATAAAACAAAGTCTGTTTTATTTTTATATATAAAATTACAAAAATTCCAGATAAATAATCAAATATTCTATCATGATTGTGTTTGATTTATGAATTTAGAGAGAGATTTGAAAAGAGAAAGTAAAAAAGTGTAAAACATACGTGAAATATAA